GGGGAGGGGGAGGGGGAGGGGGAGGGGGAGAGGGAGAGGGAGAGGGAGAGGGAGAGGGAGAGGGAGAGAGAGAGAGAGAGAGAGAGAGAATGCACACATAGGAACACAAATAAATCCAATAAAAAATTTTTAATATGAAAAGACCAAGTAGGGAGAAGTCCTCATCTATGGGACAAATGTGAATAGATTTTAATGGAGAGACAAGTCTAATTTTTAAATCATTTTCTACATTTTCTACGGCTACTGGAGTGGATTCTAACTACTTCTAATTATATTGAAGGATGATGTTCCCAGATTCTCATTGTCTAGTGGACAATACCCCTCCCTAGGTGTAGAAAACTGAACTCACAGGAAGTAGCCATTTCAGAGGATAGGCTCTGCCTGTAAGCTTATGGGTAATATATGCTTTATTCTTCAGTCTCCTAAGCTAGAACAGAGGATGTGGCAGGCTAGGAGGCGGAGGCAGTGCAGATGTGTGTATAGATATCTGTGTGTTGTCTCACATCCGCTTCCTCTTTTGAGCTGACAGTTGAATGAGAACAGAGAGAAAGTCACAGTCTGTGATATGAAACTATCTCACTGTCCTCATCTCGAGCACCACTCCTGAGAAAGGTTCAGCCCTGTTTTGAGAACTTTCTTACCTCTGGTAAGTGTAGTTTTTACTTTGGTTTTAGGGTGGAGCTGATATAGAATTATAGATAGTTATAGAGAAAAGAATATGGGTCAGGAAAAAAATCTGGCTTCCAAGTAAAGAGATTTATCAGGAGAGAAACTTTCATTCTTGTCGCTGAATCTATAACCTCATCATTGGAACTATTGAGCAGAGATGCCTCTTTCCATCCTCCTGGCTACCAGATGTTATTGTTCTAGGGTCATGAATCATGGCCTTTTTGATGAACTGAATTGCTATTCACAAAATTCCTTTTGTCTCATTAGAGTTCTTCTTAGCATCTTGCTGAACTGGTATGTTTGGTCATTTAATTCTATTTTCAATTCTGAAAAGTTGTGAACGAGAGAGGCTTCTTGGTTTGGTGACAGGTTCTGTTTAATACCCTTATCTCCGAATTTGGGAATATTCAAATCTGGCCTGACTTTTCTCTCAGTTTTTCTTTGGAATCTTCAGCAAAAGATATGGAGATAAAGTGTTGTGAAGTATGTAAAAATTACTATATAGGAAAATTTATATAGTTGGATAATGACAGGCCAGATTTACTAGAGGCCCATAGTCCACATTTTATGAATACTAGAGTTTTGCCCCACATTTCATCTAAATATGTTGACCTCTCAGTGACCTATATAATATTAGGGCTGGAGTCTCCAACACCCTTTGTTTCAGGGTAACCACTCATCTGTATCCTGGGGAGGGAGGAGATATGGAAATATCATTCACGCTGGGGGTTTTTCCACAACCCCATGTACTACCAACTTTATCCATGGTTAGAAGAGGCAATGTAGGGATTTAGAGCAGAGCCCCATCAAGATAAAAGTGTACTGTAGAAGTGGTTTAGTAAGATAATAAACATTTAGAAACAGTGCCCAAGGAAATATTTGTGACTTTGTATATCACAAATGTCTTTAATTGGAAGTTTTATACAATTCATGAGGAATTAGAGGTTGGAAGCAAGCTTTTGATTCAGCAGATGTTCAGCTTGAGTGGTAAGAGCCATGGATCTGCAGTCTCCTATATCATGAACATTAGTGAAAAGATCTCAAAAGGCCAGGTTTATTAGTTGTCTTCAGTAGAGAATGTTATCATAGATAGCAAGATAATGCTATAGTAGAAGGGATAGAAAAAGAAACAACAAACACAGGCACTCAGGCCATTTAGACGCTATTTATAACCAGACTAATAATATTCTCTTAACTCCTTTGATCCTCTGAAAGTTAAGATATTTTCTAGGATGAAGCATTTTGTAGTGATGTGGAGAGACAACACAGTCCTTTTAGGTTCAAGGTCTGCGATTCAGATTCTAATAGAAAGTTTGGTCTTGGCTCATGCCTTGGTCTTGACCCATGTCGTGACTCAAGCTTCACTCTGAATGGCAGCAAGGGAAAAGATGCAAGCATTTCTTTCTATGCGTAGACTAACAGCTGCCTGATTTCCACTTAAAGCTCAAGGAAAGTGACTAACCTAAAAGCCACAGCCCTATACTCAGCCCAGTGAGAATGGCCAAAATAAAGATTTGGGCTGAGAAAAAAATTCTGTCAAATAAGCTGAGGAATGAGAAGAGTATATGTATCTACTATGTGATAAAAGGTGGGAAATGAGAACAGGAATGAAATAACTCCATGACCATGAAAACAAGGCATTGAATTAATGATAGTAATACACAGGGATCACTTAGTGGTCAAGAAATCTCTTCACTTATCCTAAACAAGTCTAGATAAAGCCATATGTAATTAGCCAGGGTGAGCTGTTTTCTTATTCCTGATACCTTTTAGCCTGTCCAGATTATTTTTTAATGACATCTTTCACACACCAACAACACAGTGACTTGATCCAAATATATGACTTTAATATCTCCCATGGTCATTCATAAACCGCCACAAAACTCACTCATATCTGAATATTCAAAGGGAATGACAGGAAAAGAACTTAGATGGTTTGCTTTCAATATTCAGCAAAACTTGTTTGTGGGGAAATGGCATAAAAAAGGAAAGACAACAGAGTTACTGTTGAAGGTCAGCTTCAACACCACAGGGTAAACTGAGGAGGGCTGAGTGTAGAGTCGGTGATTGGGGGCTGGTGCTGATAGCAACAGGTTATGATAGCAACCAACAGGGGTTGCTGCTGATGGCAGCCAGCAACTATAGAAAAGAAAAAGAGGGGGAATCCTACACACGCATGAATACACACACACACACACACACACACACACACACACACACATATATATATACCCACATATGCATATTTGGTGATTTGGTGGATGCAGCAAACTCCAACAAGTTGACTCCAACAGCTTTATTTTTTCTCTTAGCCTTTTTATACCATTTAAGTCAAAGTTCTCCTTGTAAGAAAAAGATCACATCATAGCCACAAGTTACATATTCTCTAAAAAATAATCACCACAAAAACATATTCTTCAAAATATATTAAAATCATTACACAAAAGAAAATTACAACAGGATTATTGATTATGTATTTTTCTTTTGAAACTCAAACCTAACTAAATATTTTCAATCCAACTTTCTTTCTACAAGTTTATCATGACTCCAAAGCAATAATATAATCACTAATTCATCTAAACAATATTGTTCTATGAAAGTTCATCTTCATGTTGATCTGCAGGAAAATTGCCCAATTACCCAGGAAGTAATCATACCAGGCTACAGGGAGTGAGAGTCTCCCCACATCCAATCACACCAAGCCAAATATACAAAGAATATAGCAATGACAAACATGAGAAGATACATCAATAGCAAGAAGCAATCCTGGGATGAAGCTACTGGGGCTGTGCCTATCCAAGGTATATCCATAACAACTGTGCAAAATGGTGCGCTATCTCCAGGAAGCTCACTTGCCCACTACAGCTCCTCCTGCATCGAGTCCACCATGTTACATTTCGTAATTTCTACTATTTACTAAATAACACTAGCTTTTTTTTTTACATTTATTTACTAAGTAATATTTTTCTACCCTCTGAAACAAAGACAGAAGTCCTATAAGGCATGACAAATGAAAGGTAAAGAAATTGCATTGTGTGGCTTCTACTATTTACTAAATAACATCCTTTTTTATTTTCCCTGAAGCTCCCTTAAGTCATAGATGTCTTAGAGTGCTCCAACATCATAAGTTTTGATCTAATGATCTTCCTAGTGCCACACTGACAATTAGAAACCAGGAAGAAAGTTACCATTGATCTAAAAGAAGTGTAACAGCCTGTTGTAGATTTTTGATACATAAGTTTGAAAAGGGTCCACCTGGCTTGAAGTTAAATTTGCCCTGTCCACAGAGAAATGCTGTCTGCTCTGGGATTTCCCCAGAGTTTTGAATTGGTAAGACTGTGCCTGGGCTATGGATGCAGAAGTTCTGTTAGGCCACATCATGGAAACTCTATTTCCTTTTTCTGTTTTCTTAAGCTTGATCTCATTCTCAGTCTCAATTCACAGGTACTGCTTGGGACATAAGTAAAATACAGAGAAGAGAGGCCTGTCTGGTCTTTTGGTGGAAGGAGGTCTAGAGCATTGAAGACTCATCTAGAACCTGAGAGTGGTAGGAGGAACGCTGTGTGATCAAAGGAAAAAGGAACATATTTGTGATACAAACTTGTGAGTCCTATTTTCTATTTTCTCTTCTCTCCTTCCCCCTTCTTTCCTTCCTTCCTTCTCTCCCTCCATCCCTCCTTCCCTCATCTTTCCTCATCCCTTCTTATCTCTGTCTAATTTTCTCTACTCTAAAATGAGTGTCCAGGATTAGATTTCTCTCTGGTCCCTCTGGAAATTATATAAGGATAGACACTATTGAAGTAGAGAATGATTTAATTGGTATAATTAGATGAGAATCTGAATTCAGATCCCCAGTACTCATGTAAAAGCTAGAGATGGTGATGCACTCTGTTATTAATGCTGAAGTAGTAGAGATAAAAGAATCCCAAGGACTCACTGTCCAGCCAGCCTAGCAAATCAGTGTATCCCAAATTTAGTGAGAGACTATTTCAGAGAATGATAGAGGAAGATACCAAATATAGACCTTTGGCCTCTATGGGTTCACATATGGGTACGTGCACATGTAAATACATGCCACACACAAGTAGAAAATAATAAGGGATTATTTTTCTCACAGTTTATCTCTGCCTAATGTGAGCACCTCTCTTGAATATCCTGATGTGGTGCACTCTAGTGTATTCTAATGATTATTCTCTTGTCTCCGTTCTTATTCTTAAAACTATTCTACTTCTTGAGACTAGCTTATATTGATAGAAAATTAATAACAACCTTGCATATTATTTATTATATAATACCTAATTTTAATCTTCAATAATCCCAATGTGTGGCAATTATCAGTTTACATATTTAAAACACTTAGATACAGAGAAGTTGAATAGTTTTGCCAAAAACTCACATGTGTAGGTAGACAGACTATGATTTTAAACAGGGATACTCTGATTCCATGTCTCAAGCTCTGCCTACATTTTTTTTTCTTTCCCTGAGTTTCTAAATAAAACTATGAAGAAAAGGAAATGTTACTGGGAGTTTTAAAACATCCCTACACTGAATCAGATATAAGCAGAGCTATTACTTGTCAGCTTTACAGTGGTAGGCCCATTTGTTATATTTAAATATTAAAATAGGTGGAGAGAAACTAATGAGAGGGGAAACTGTAACCAGGATATATTATATGAAAAAGGTCTATTTTCAATACGTTAAAAAAAAGAAGGCAAGTAGAAGAAGGAACAAGAGGGAGAGGAGGAGAAGGAAAAGAAGGAAGAAGGGGAGACAAAGAGGCAGCAGCAGCAGCAATCCATTTAGCATGTTGTTAATATATCCCATCCCAGAGAAATGCATCAACCACAATTTCCAGTTTTAAATAAAAACTAAACCTCTCCCTTGGGAAAAAAAAGATATGTCCACAGTACATTGAGGTTGATACCATTGCTCCCTGCCCCTCTGAATGCAGCACAATCTACCCCAGCTGCCCCTGCTTTTTCCACAAGATTTCCCAGAATATTCCAGAAAATCCAGTAATTCAGTAACTAGGCCTATGCCGAGCTTGGCCACAGGGCTGTGACTAGTGTTAACTTTGTTAGTTCAGTGCCTTTCTATAGTCGCTGCTAAATATTCTAATTCTACAATCTGAAAGCAAGAATTCTCATGTAATCCCAAATTGGACCTTGTTGGAAAACTGACCTGCAAACCCGAGGGAGGTTAGTCTGCTTCCCGATCACCAAGAGTCAAGAGGAAAACTATGTTGGTAACACAAACAAAGCAATACTTCTTTTGTTGTGATTACAGAGCTCAGTACAAAATGTGTTAGGTTTATGCTGTTTCTTCTCCACTAGGTTATAAAATAGACAGCTGAACAGCATATAAAGCAAAGAATTTACTAAAATAATCTTGTGCTTTATGAAATGCGGCATGATGCAGTGAGAGGGAAAGCCCTGCCAAAGAGTCCCCCTGAACAATCAAGCCACATGGCAGGCCTAGTACAGAATGAAGTTTACTGGAGGGGAGCTGAGACGCAGAATGGGGACCTGGAAAGAAGTAGAGGCAAAGAAAGGAAGAGAGACAGAGAAGGATAGAAAGAGAGAGGAGAGAGGAAAAGAGGAAAAGAGGAAGAGAGGCTTCGGACTTATGGGGGTGGGGGGAGAGAGAGAAAGAGAGAGAGAGAGAGAGAGAGACAGAAAGACAGAGACAGGTCACCAGAGCGGTCTTCTTATATGCCTGGCTCAGACCTGGCAGTCGGAGACACAGCTATTACTAGATAACTGTTGGGCGGAGCCTAGAGGAATTGCTAACAACACAATAGACTATTTTATTACTCCAGTATTTGTGTAAAGACTGTACAACAAGAACCAATGCAAGTCAGACCAATGCAAGCTTAAATCCAAGCCCTTTTAGTATGCTTCTGTGAATAAGACATTCTCTCTGAGCTTTAGATGCTAATGATTAGCTCTAAGGTGTTGGTCAGGATTAAGTGAAGTATTTTATAGGGCATGTTTGTGGATAAATATTAGGCGTTCTACACAAGTCAGTTATTACTAGTACCTGCTTCTTTGATTCACTATGTCAGTGTATTGTGAAATTGCAACTGAATCTTCTAGAACATGGACTAGCAATGTAGTAGGAAGTAGACAATGTTCTTAATTCAGTAATAATGACACTTTCAACAGTTTCTTCACTACTGCTACAGGTATTGCATTTGATAATATTTTATTAGAAGATAACTGTTCTTAAACAATCCTGTGATCTTAAACCACAGGTGTGACTTCATCCCTACTTCTATAAACTCTTTACAGAACAAAAAAAATCCTCTTACTCTATTTGGTTGTAGTTAATTCCAGACCTCCTGGTAGTTTATGGAAAATAATCCAAGAAAAAATTCTAGAGAAATGTCTAGTCCTTGGGGAAATTCAGACAAGCAGTAAGTAGATCCTTTGTGTCACATTGCTTGAATTATTGGTAAAAACAAAAGAAAAATATACAGGTTCCCACCTTCTCTCTCTACATTAGGCATAGTACAGCCAATGTTATAATAAATTAGCATCAAGGAAGGTAGCAGTCAGAGTTCAGAGAAATTTTTTGAGTAGGAAATGAAAAATTAGGATGGAAAATGATTTTCTAAGGATAGCATAATTTGCTAGTTTGAACTTTAAAATTTAATCATACTTCAGTTACCCTTATGGTATATTAACTAAAGCACAGAAAGATGGTCCAATATAACAGCATCCCTTCACTACAGAGTAGGTAATATACACACAGAAGATTTGAAGCCATGGAGAAAGGCAAGTGGGTCTATACCTTTTTTATGACATATACTAGTTGAGAGAAATTTCCCAGTACAAGTATGAGTCTTCAGCAGGTACAATATTTGCTAAATTATCTCCATTGAAAAGCATTATATGATGCCCTGCCATGGGGCTTAAGGGAGATCTTACAAAGGGTGGTCCAATTAACACAGACATGCAATATACTTTTTGAATATGACACAAGCACACATGCTGGTTGCTAGAAACTGATCAGAAAAATGATGTGAATATGAATGGTAATTCATATTTTTTAGCTTTTACTTAGTAATAGTACTTTCATTATTGTTGTGTGTACGTGTATTGTGTGTGTTGTGGGGAGGTCAGAAAGCAACTTTCAAGAGTCAGTTTTCTCCTTCCACCTTGAATTCCAGTGATTGAATGCAGGTTGTCAAACTTGTGTAGCAGGCATTCTGACCATGTTCCATCATATTGTGGGAATACACTTTTGTCTGATGACTATTGTTATTACTGGAACATTTGGAGAAAATATTTCCATTCTCATCTCTCTATTAACCTCCCTTCTAAAACCTCCAAAGGTATATCTTGCCATCCCTGTACCATTTCTCTTGTACATCTCTGTGTCATTTCTCTGTAACATACTCACTGCTGGTGTGTTTATCTGATATCATTTGCCACTTCCTTCAGATTTCCAGAAACAGAACTTAGTTTCTTATCTCCCAGCAGTGTATTTTCTTCCTGTTACTATGAACAAAACCCTTTATTTATTTCTATTTCCCAATATTGCTGCCCATTTTTACAGTAGCTCCATTTAATGCTTTGTGAACAGTTCATGATGACCCAAACATGATAAAGATTAGAGAAAATTACTTTCTATTTTAATTTCTACCCCAAGAGCCACATTTGGGGAGATTAGCTTCTTTACATCTTTTCTTGTGAGATCACTGGGGGTGGGTGGTGCAGGAGTGTGCGCACACGGGCATGCACAAGCACATGCATGTGGAAGCCAGAGGTCAAGATAGGTATTCTCCTCTATCAGTCTCCATCATAAATCTTGACATAGGATCATACATTTAGTCTGAAATTTGCTATACTGCCTGACCAGTGAGACCCAGGAATCATCCTAAACCCACTCTCAGTGTTGGGATTACAAGCATGTGGTACAGCTCTCAGTTTTGTCATAAGTTCTGAGGATGTAGTTCAGGTCCTTGTTCTTACATGTAAAACACTTTAGAGGTTAAGACACTTTCCAAGCCCCTACCATAGTTGTCTTTTAAAGTAAGTAAATGATTTTATTCTCATCCAAACTGCCAGAAAATGACTATTCTTTGCAATGCATGTTAAAGCTCTTAGTTTGTGTCTTTCTGCTGCCTGTAATTACAGCCAGTTTTGTGAGCTTTCCTTTGTAACTTTTAAAGCATTAAGCATTCTGTTTCCATATACACTTTTCTTTAGGTAGTTGTGATAAGTAAAAGGTCTATTTAAGGATGTGCAAATAAGAAAAAGACACTGTCAGACACATGCTGATGCTGTTCTGAGTTGCAGGGACTCTCAGAGCAGAAACAGGTTTTAGAACTATCATCTCTTTGTTCCCCAACTTTCTGTCCCTAACACATAGTTAAAACTTATGGAAGCCTTGAAGCTATGTGCTGAGTGTGTCTGTGGTAACTTAAGGCACTAGGCTTTCATGGGGCATTCATTCATTTAGAGTATTTGTTTAGCCAACAACATGTTTGATTCTATTTTAGACATTAGAAACACAGCAGTGGACAATCCAAACAAACACATCTGACCCTGGAGTTTATGCTCCAATTAGAAGAGTAAATTAAATATAAGATAAATTAGTAAAAGTGTAAAATATGTTGATGATAATAACCAAAAAGAAAAGTCAAGCAGGGAAGTCACAAAGAGACGGGGTTAATGCCAACTGCAGAAGCCACATCTGACTTCCTGGAGGAAATGGGTTGAGAACAGATTGAGGGCTATATGGGTCTAGTGCAGCAAATACTTGGGATGAAAAAAAAAATGAGAGAAAAAGTTTTGTAAGAAAAACCAGGGCTGAAAAGTGGTGGAGAAGAAATTCGCTTATTTAAATGAGAGCTTCAAAGATGTGAGGAACATAAAATAGTCATATCAAAGATGGTACTGAGAATCTTTACCTGTCATCCCAGGTAGGGAAAACAAGGTGTTTCCAGTTGGTTTTGGTACAGACAATAGAGTGTCAGAGCCCAGTGTGGCAGCCGTATGTTCTTTTCTACTTGTGCCCCTCTTCTCTTTCTGTCCTTTCTTTTTCTTCTCTTTCCCCTTCCCTTCCCTCATTTCCTTCCTCCATCCCTTTCCCCTCTCCTCTAGTAGTCTCTCTACCTCATCTCTTCTTCCTCTGTCTCTCCTTCCCAGTTCTTCCTTTTCCCCGTGCTTTTCTTCCCTTGCTGCCATCCTTTTAAGTTTTCCTAACTGCCAAAAATGTCCTTGTGCACAAAGGATTCTCTGTGATTTGTGTGAAGAAATTAAAGAAATGAGCAAAGCGGTTTTGGAATTTTCTTTTCTGGGCTGGAAATAGCCTATTAAATATTTTACAAGGCAGAACTAGGAAAACACACTCTAATTTCAGGCTTTCCAGAGACTTTTCCTGAATTCTTTCTGGAGGCAGCCTCATCCTGAAATACCCAATGCTAGCAAGTCTCCTCTGCTAACCCTCTGTAGATTTCCTTTGTCTTGAGCTTAGTTAAGAGGATGAATATTCCCTAAAAGGCAAAAGAGTGCAAAAACATCTCACAGTGCTAAAGCTGCCTTCCCTAGAAGACAAATCCTGGACTGGGCCCAAAGGGAAGGAACCTAGACTACACAACAACAATTACAGATAGTTTTTTCTTAGTATACAGCAAGACAAAACAACTGAAACAATTTTATTGCACTAGAAAAATATTTCGTGTCCAAGATGTTCTTTAAAAAAAAAAAAATACATACCTGCATTAGTAGCTTTTAGTCTTAAATGAAGTCTCTTGAAATTTCTATATTTTTCTCTTCTATTTTCCTCTGACATCAACAGTTAGAAATATAATTTTTGTTATTTATTTATTTATTTTATGTATATGAGCACACTGTCTTCAGACACAACAGAAGAGGGCATTGGATTCCATTACAGATGGTTGTGAGCCACCATGTGGTTGCTGGGAATTGAACTCATGACCTCTGTAAGAACAGTCAGTGCTCTTAACTTCTGAGCCATCTCTCCAGCCCCCATAGCCCACTTATTTATTTATTTATTTATTTAGGTTAAGGAACAAGCAAGACAATAAACACAAATAGTCAAAGAACAAGCAAGGCAATAAACAAAATTCCATGAACACTCCCATGAACACTGTTTCTAAGGGCTTATCAAGATGACCAAAATATCTGAGCCTACTTCCCTGTTCTAGCCCAAAGTCATTTTCATGTCTGAAGTCTACTTCCTAGTTCTAGTTTAAGATTTAGATTCTTGCCAGGCGGTGGTGGCGCACGCCTTTAATCCCAGCACTTGGGAGGCAGAAGCAGGCAGATTTCTGAGTTTGAGGCCAGCCTGGTCTTCAGAGTGAGTTCCAGGACAGCCAGGGCTACACAGAGAAACTCTGTCTCGAAAAACCAAAAAAAAAAAAAAAAGATTCTTGCCTGAAATTGTTTCTTTGTTCTAGCCTAATGTCAGATTCCTGCCTGAAGCCCACTTCCTTGTTCTTGGCCCATGTCAGATTCTTGCCAAGCAGCCCCAAAAGCTCTCTGCCTCTCCCCCTTTTTTATTTCATAAACAAGACTGAGCCTTTCTTAGGTCATTCTGACAAGAATGCCTTCCTTACCCATTATGGAATATGCATTATCAAATACAATGCATTTCTGTCTTAGATTGGTAAGGTTCTGCACAGAATCTTACCCATCCTTGGCTTTCCAGCCAGTTAATTTAATAGCTCTGTCTGGGGGTCCATTTGCAGTTTCAAGCCATGTATTTTGGCTGCCAACATGTTGATATTGTTAAAGACATGCTTTAACACAATGAGCAGGAATAAAAGTGTTCCCAGGACAAAAATGGCTAGCATGATCAAGTTATATATGCCATTCTTGAAGCTTGACGAAATAGAAATACTGACCTCAGGCTGAAATATAATTTCGAAGATGAATCTGTGTGCGGCAATCCCAAAGAATGGAAGCACAATATCTGAAAGTCTTGTCAAAAATTTACTAACTCACTGTGGAGGGATGTGGGTATTGCTGAGTGCCCATTAGCTCCTGCCTTTCAAGCTCTATATGGACAGATGAATGATTCGTCCCTTTATTCTTTTCAGATTCTATGCCTAGAGGCATTATATATTTTCAAAAAGAGTGCAAAGGTGTCAAATTAACTATCAGTTTGTGGAGTGAGAATTGCATTGACAGGATGATTAAGTAACTCATAGTCAATGTGAAAACTGACAAATTAGAAAAAGTGACCATATGGAAGGTGTGGTCTGCTAGTTACTTAAGGCAGTAAGTTCAGTGTCTTGTTTCTATTATAGTTCTTTTCCATTTCTTTTCCTGGGGAAAATCCCATGTGTTTCCTAGAAAACCAAACAAATCCAGGAAGAAAAAAAAAAGACAAGCTAGAAGCACTAAAGGTGTGATCACATCCCTTTGTAGAAATTTGGCCTTCTTAAACTTTGCCAATTCTACACTTTTAAAAGGCTATCTCCATGAGGATTAAATAAAGTGTAAATTTAAAGATTTTTGTTTTTCTTTTCTTTTATTAATTGGAGGAAGAGCAGAGGACAATGCAATGTCTTCCTGAATCTCTCTTCACCTTATTTTTTGATATAGGGTTTCTCACTGAACCTGAAGCTAATTGAATTGACTAGGTTGTCTAGCCAATGAGCAAACTTCAGAAATCGATCCTCTCAGCTCTGCTTCCACAGCTAAAACTAAGAGACCTACCCCTGTACTTGGCTTATATGTGGGTGCTGGAGATTGGAACTCAGGTCCTTAAACTTGTGTACCAAGCACTTAACTGGCTGAGGCATCTCCCCAGTTCCTCAAATATTTTAGTTTCAATGGTAGATTCTGAGATGCAAAATTACAGAGTAAAGAAAACAATTCTTTTAAACATGGTGTTTATTGAACTGTGGCTTTGATTGTTCTGCCTGGGCCTTCTGAGTACTAGAGCTACAGGCATGCGCTAACATATCTGCCTTAAGGAAAGTATTTCTAATACAGCATTTCAGCTACCACAAGAAGTAGAGATGTCAAAAAAAAGAATATATATATATATATATATATATATATATATATTCTATACATATACATATACATATATATATCCTCAATGGCCCCTGACTCCTGTTTGAAGACTTATTGACTTGAAATACTTGACTTGGTACTTAGTTTTTTTGTGAGATGGTTTGAGTGTGTGTTTGTTTTAGGCATTCCCTTTTCTGGTGGTGGTATTGTGCCAGGAAGCATTTGTGAATCCCAAAAGACCACCAAGGAGCTGATTCCAATATAATCACATTAGGGTCTCCTTATTCAAGCTTGAACTTGGGCCACACAGAAGAGAACAGTCCGGGCAACTTAGTTTCAGGCAAGCATCTATAAAGACAAAAGGGGATATCTAGCATGGCACACATCTGATTGGGGTGGCACATTATGACCTTTAACATAATTGTTTGGTGCTGGGAGCCAAACCATAAACTTAACTTGTGTTTTTCTTGATTGGTGGTTGTAGGAAGTGAAGTGCCAAGGACAGGCTTGTAACCTGAGGGTGCAGATTTATTGGGGAACAACCTGGAAATTGGTGCTAGACAGAGGTCTTGTTGTGAGGAGGAGGTAATCTGGAAACTGGTGCTAGGTACCAGCCTGTTAGTTAATTCAAGTTCAACCCTAGGTCAGGTTCTCTAAGTTGAAGTCCGAACCCAAAAGATCTGGTCTCTCAGTGGTGGATGGGTTGAAGCAACAAATGGCTAAGCATCATTTCTTCCACAATTAGGCAGTGAATGGGCTCTTTGTACAGACAGATTAGATAGTCACCTTTAGAGGAGTTGACATGAAGAGAGGGTAAAAGACTTTTTTTCCCCATGTTTCAACTCTCAGGAGAGCATCAGTGTGGTCAGGAGGCCTGAAAGTGGACTCAAACAATGGCGGCATCAGTGCTGAGCCCCACATCCTGGGAGAAACGAAGGGCCTGGCTACGACAGAGTCGTAACTGGCAAACCCAGATCCTAGAAGAGGAAGCAGCAGCTGCACTGCAGGATGCACTGGATCCTGAGCCTTCTAGCCTGGATGATGTTTTCCAGGAAGGTAAGAAAATGCTGAATATCACGCAGATGTCCACTGTATCTTGCACAAGTCTGCACAGGATGGATATAGCCTCTGATTAAAGTAGAACCTCACAAAGTCTCATTATGATTTTTCAATGATTGTACTGGAGAGGTGTAGTGTAATATGATACATGAATTATATGAGGAGATGACAGGCATTTGGTCGGGAAACAGAAAGGGACACCTTTATATCACCCTGAAAAACTTCTGTATGAGTCAAGGAACTGAACAGGGTTTGTCTATGAATTGAGTTTGTGTAACAAAACTACATATAGTCTACGCCAGATTCAGGTTGTAACTTTGACACGAGTGACCTTTGAGAAGTCTCTCTGAAGATTTTTCTTACTCAGTGAAGCAGTTGTTCTTTTTCCAAAAGTCCACATTATCTGATGTTCAAAGAGAAATACCAGAGATGTAGTCTGAAACGAAAGCTTTTGGAACAGTAAAACTATCCTTGCTTATTTGTTAGGAAAAAAAAAGCCCAGGGCCATCCCTTTTCTGATCTTCCTTCCTTCCTTCCTTCCTTCCTTCCTTCATTCCTTCCTTCCTTCCTTCCTTCCTTCCTTCCCTTCCTTCTCTCTCTCTCTCTCTCTCTCTCTCTCTCTCTCTCTCTCTCTCTCTCTTTTCATTGTTTATTTTTGAGAATGGAACCATCCCTTTTCCCAAAGTTTGGGAAAAGGAAGTAGAAAGCATGGTAGTCTGGACACTGGGAACTTTCTGAAGTCTAAAAGAAAGAGGAGACATGTCTAACATCTTTACATGAGTACAATCCTTTCATATTCATGCACACACACCATGAGTAAAAAGAGTCATGCTGTGGCTTTTGTAAGGACAACTTGCAGGATGCCTGAGTTACATAAGGAGGTGTGGTTTTCTTCAGTTCCGACAATCACCCAATGTTTGTTTTTTTCTAGGGAATCCAATCAATAAGATTGAGGACTGGCTGCAGGGCTGTGGGTAAGTACTCAAAAGCAAAGATGTGGCTGGCAGATAGCTGTGATAATGTACATGGCCCCTATGAATTCAGAGATAAAGAAGAGTGAACACTGGTTTATGTGCAGGCATGATGAAGAGATTTGGGATTTGGATCAGTTGGTAGTCCAGGCTGTTGGACAAATGCAACTCAAGGCTGAGATGAAGTTCAGCAGAAAGGTTGAGAATCCAGGAGAGATCTGGGCTAGAGCCAAGAGTAAATGGGACTCTGCCTCTCTCAGGCATGAGTGGTAACCCCCTCTCATTGGCTTTCCCCATTCTGACTACAGTTTTACATGATGTGTCAAAAAAAAAAAAAAAAAAGGAAGAGCTGGAGGTAGATCATTCCTCCCAGGAGCAGAGCACAGGAGGAGCTCAGGGGCTTCAAAACCAGAGGCTTTAAAGTATATTGCCTGTTTTCTCTAAAGTACTTTTAAATATAAGGCCCTCCTAAAACTCCTCCAGCCTGTACCATTTTAGACTCAGTCTCCTTGGACACAGGGAAGCTTCTGTGACCTAGTTAGGTCTGACTGTTCTTATAAGAGTGACTTCTAGAATGTACAACTTCTGCCTACTCTTCATTTTCCATCCAGGAATGTCTCCAGCTTTATATAACCTTTAATCTAAACTCTTCAATTAACTGACATAAATAAACCCACTCTTGCTTATTTGGCAGGAAATAAATAGTACTGAATAATCTAAGGTTGTTTATTTTAGTCTGCCCTGAGAGGCATTTCCAAGAAGTATTTATTTTGTGTTTTTTCCAGTTGTTTACAAAAGGGGCATTATTTCTTACCCTAATCTTAGACACAATTTATTGACTGTAAAAGGCAATCTTCCAGTTGTGGAAGGTGACAGTGTTTTGCAAGTTTTGATGAGAAGCCATGATGAAAAGTCCTGGTTATTTTGGTGCTACACTAGACACACATGGGAGGAAGAGTTGGTAGAGCTAATGTCTTTATCTCCTTGCCTAATCTATTCAATTCCTGCTCAATAATGATTTAATTATACATTTTTAGATATATGTCTTATGGTTACAATTAATGTAATGAAACACCAAGACTAAAGCCACTTGGGAGGACGGGGTTGGATTTTTGGGGTTTTTTGTTTTGTTTTTTGTTTTTTTGTTTGTTTGTTTGTTTGTTTGTTTTGTTTGTTTTGTTTTGGGAAGGTTTTTTGTTTTATTTTTGGTTTGGTTTGGTTTGGTTTGGTTTGGTTTGGGTTTGGGTTTGGGTTTGGGTTTGGGTTTGGGGTTGGGGTTGGGGTTGGGGTTGGGGTTGGGGTTGGGGTTGGGTTTGGGGGTTGGGTTGGGTTGGGTTGGGTTGGGTTGGGTTGGGTTGGGTTTGGCCCTCTGCTTCTACAACACAGTTCATCATCAAAATAATTCAGGAAAATAACTCAAACAGGGGAGGAACATGAAAGTAGGAACTGATACAGAGATCATTGAGGAGTACTGTCATTGGCTTGCTTTTCATGGCTTGTTCAACCTGGTTTCTTATAAAACTCAGAATCACTGGCTAAAGCATAGCACCACCTATAGTTCACTGGGACTTCTCTATTGATTACTAATTAAGAAAATATTCTACAGGTTTAACCATAGCCTGATTTTATGGAGGAATTTTTTTTTTAGTTGAGGCTCACTCCTCTCTGATGAATCTAGTTTATGTCAAGTTGACATAAAACTAGGCAATACAATATCCAATTTTCTGAATGGCCTAAAGTGATCCAAAATAATATTTAATGTGATTCTTTTTTTACTTCACATATGCTGGAATACAGTTGAAATGAGTGAGCTCCCAGAACACAAGACTGTAAACTACAAATTACTACATTCTTTAAAAAAAAAACTGAATTAAAGCTTAGGATAAAAATGTGACATTGTAAGTGTAAGGCTTCAAGATTTTTGACCATTATGATCTGTTACTACTTAAGTAACCAAATATAAACAAATAACTGAAAGTCTTTACATCTGAAACCCCATAGTTGAAAGTAGCAGGCCAACATACTTGTTGATAGCTCAGTGATGTGACAAGTATGCTTTGTCTTTGCAGTGGTGTGTAAAGTAATGACGGGGTAATGTGAACTTGTGTTGTCAACTATTTGGGAGTCTGGGGGAGAAGGATCATTTGAGTCTAGGACTTCAAGGCCAGCCCTGGATATACTGTTGAACTCTTTAAAAAATATAAAATAAAAGAAGAAGCTTTATAACTTAGTAACTTAACGAAAATGTCTCCCTATCCATTGACCTATCTGGCTATATCTCTTTATTCATCAGAAAAAAAGCATGCCCAGTGACTAGAAACCACTAGGAAGAAAGTTGAAAGAATGAAAGCTAAATGATATATCAATTATATCTTTAATAGTTTATTGGTTATTGCATATTATTTATTTATTTCTGCAATAAATGTCAAAATATTTGTATGCATAAAAATTGGCTGACAGATACCAATGTTTGTCATAGTCTTTTTCTGGTTTTTTTTTCAATAATTTATTTACTCACTTTACATTCAGATTAAGGCCCCCCTCCTCTCCTCCGAGTCCCACCCTTACAAATCCCTCACACTATTACACTATTAACCCCCTTCCCTTTCTCAGAGAAATGGAACCTCCGCTTGGGTACCATCCCACCCTGGGACATCAAGTCAAAGTAGGACTAAGCACATCCTCTCCCACTGAGACCCAACCAGGTAGTCCAGTTAGAGGAAGGGGGATCCAATGGCAGGCAACAGAGTCAGAGACAGCTCCTGCCCTGCTCCAGTTGTTAGGTGGCCCACATTATGTGAACATGTGAGAGATATTTGAAGAAAGACAGTTGGAAATGTAATTATATTTTTAGTTGTAGAGACACTGAAGAGGGACTTTCTGAAGAAACAGGGCAATCTAACTACAGTGGTGAGCTGTTCTATTTTCTATTTGGATGCTGTGCAATGCATTTTCATGCTCTCTCTCTCTCTCTCTCTCTCTCTCTCTTTCTCTCTCTCTCTCTCTCTGTCTCTGTGTGTGTGTGTGTCTGTGTCTGTGTCTGTGTCTGTGTTTGTGTTTGTGTCTGTGTTTATATATATCCACATTCATGTTTATGCTTGAAAATGAGTGTCTTTAGGTTCTGAAAAATACCTAGAACAGTCTAGAAAGTACAAATAGAAGTACTACCTCAAAGCAAATGTTCCCTAATACTCAGAATTTACCCGTTAGTGGTTGCTTTGCTAATAGCTGCTATTAAAGAATAACCACACAAACTATGTACATTTATATTTGTTTATCCCTAAGTGTACTCAGACTCTATCATGTGTTAACTACTTAGTAGAAGATTGTGAAGATAATTATAGATAACAAAGTATACAGATAAGTTATAAATGACTGTATGTAACATTTTTAAAGAATTATTTACTTATTTTATGTATATGAGTACACTGTAACTGTCTTCAGACACACCAGAAAAGAGCATCTGATCCCATTACAGATGGTTGTGAACCACCATGTGGTTGCTGGGAATTGAACTCAGGACCTCTGGAAGAGCAGTCAGCACTCTTAACCGCTGAGACATTTCTCTAGCCCAGAATATATGTAACTTTGAATCAAACCATGACAGTGATTGCTAATGTAAAGCTGGGGGGGAGCTTTGTGAATATGTAAATATCTAGCATATTTGTGTAGTTAAGGACATGATTAGACATTCAAGTGTCCAGTTGGGGTGTGTGTGTGTGTGTGTGTGTGTGTGTGTGTGTGTGTGTGTGTGTGTTGTGTTCTGGGTTTATTTTCTGCAACTTTCAAGGGGGGTTTTTTTGGTTGGTTTTGTTTTGTTTTATTTTTGTAGGGTACTCTAGCCATGGGACAAGCTTTGAAGATGACTTGAGTCTTGGAGCAGAGGGTGAGTGGCTCAGCTGTGTGATGTTGGGATCAATATAGAGGGGGTCACATAGTATGATGTAAGGATAGGGTGGAAGGAAAACTTTAAAGAATTGGGGTCTTTCTGGGGTCCTATCTAGATGGACAGAATAACTTGGTTTTCTAATTTGTGTTGATATATGATAAACACAGAGAGTACTCCAGATTTCGAAATATTTCTTAACTTGCTTATGGTGATTCCTGACAGTCTTTTCATAGTGCTTTGAGATACTATCAAATCACCATAATATTTGTTATATACTTACCTTTGTTACTTCTTTTCCCTACTAGAAGCCCAAGGAACCAAAGAAGTTTGAGAGCTTCTTCCTCCTCTTTCTCCTACTTCATCTTTATATTGGGTATTAGACCCAGTACCCCATCCTGCTAGTCAAATGCTCTATCATTGAGCTACATCCCCATCACTGAGAAGCAGTTTTAAGAGGCATATTTTGATGCAGGAGGATAAGGACTTAAATAAAAGGTAGAGGGATTGTCTCTCCCCAGTGTCTCCAGATACTTTTAAGATGGGCAGTCAAGTGATGGATAAGCCATGTGATGGGTAAGCCATGTGATGGGCAGGAAAAAGATCCTAAAGATCAGAGTGACGCCCACCTTCAGGTCAGAGAGGTTCTTGGCTAGACCTCAAGTTCAGACTGCTGGCAAAGTGTTCTCTGACATATCTGTTGCACTTCCTAGGCTATGTTTGGTGATATTGAAATCTCAAACTCTGTACCACTAAGGAAAACAGTGGAACTATTTTATGGAAAGAGAAATGTCATGTGTGCTTTAAGTTTTCCTTTCTAACTTGTTTTTGCCTTTCTGTTTCTCTCCAAGCCACATTACTGTCCACCAGTGGAAACCTCTTCTCTAGGTAAGTATGAAGTTTAGACAGTTTGAATGATATCATCCAAGGTGACAATGAATTAGACGAGGTTATAGAGTCGGAAATTTTAAACACAAAGCCAAAAATACACAGTAAAAAGGAAGGGTTTTGTTTTTCAATAATTTATTTTATTCACTTTACATCCCCATCTTAGCTCCTTCTCTCCTCCCAGTCCTGCCCTTACAAATCGCTCCCCTATTACTCCCTCTCCTTCTTCTCAAAGAAGGGAAAGCCCCTCTTGGGTACCACCCCACCCTGGGACATCTAGGCCCGTCAAGAGAAAAGCTTTCTAATTAGAAAAAAAAAAAAAAGGCATAGTCTAGGTTTCCTCATCACAGGCAAAATACATCCAGTAGGGGGAGCTTGAGGTCAGGGCATAGATTAGAAATTGGAATTGAATGACATCACCTTTCGTCTTTTTAGGAATTTCCTCCAGACACCCAGACCTTGCCAGTTACTTGATCTTGGCTCTAGTTTGGCTTCCAGCAGCATGACTGGTGGGACCAACAAAACCAGTTCAAGGTAAGTAGTAAGTTTTGGAGGGTTAGAATCATGGGAGGATGAGAGACTGAGACTCTGCATACTGAAGCTTATATACGTTTTCTATTTACAATCAAGAAATATGATGCTGTTTGTACCAAGATGAGGAAGGAGTGTAGAGGAACCTTCTTCTCAGAAATGGATGCTATGTACAAAACACAGAAAGCTCCTTCCACTGAACTTATACTCCAGGAGATGTACTTAGATTACTATCACAGTACCTAGACCTATAATAGATGTTCAATAAAGAGTGTGTATTTTTTAATTAACTAACTTGTTGGTAGAAGCAATACAAAGCTTTGTTTAGTTCATGCATTAACTGTATGGAACTTGCAAAGCTGGGGCAAGGTTTGTCTTAGGATCTCAACTATTCCATAGGATGGACAATATTTCCATGCAAATAAACCTAAAACAAGATTGAAAGTGATCCAAGAGGAGTAGACCGAAGGAAACAATCAAACTCAGGGGTGAAATCAACCAAATAGAAACAGAAAGAACAATACAAAATATCAACAAAACCAGGAGCTGGTTCTTTGAGAAAATCAACAAGATAGATAAACCCTTAGCCAGATTAACCAGAGGGCACAGAGACAGTATCCAAATTAATAAAATCAGATCTGAAAAAGGAGACATAACAACAGAAACTAAGGAAATTCAAAAAATCATCAGATCCTACTATAAAGGCCTATACTCAACAAAACTGGAAAACCTGGATGAAATGGACAATTTCCTAGACAGATACCAGGTACCAAAGTTAAATCAGAAGCAAATAAACCATCTAAATAGTCCCATAACCCCTAAAGAAATAGCAGCAGTAATTAAAAGTCTCCCCACCAAAAAAAGCCCAAGTCCAGATGGTTTTGGTGCAGAATTCTATCAGACCTTCAAGGAAGACCTAATACCAATTCTCTTCAAACTATTCCACAAAATAGAAACAGAAGGAACACTACCCAATTCGTTCTATGAAGCTACAATTACACTCATACCCAAACCCCACAAGGACCCGACAAGGAAAGAGAACTTCAGATCAATCTCCCTTATGAACATCGATGCAAAAATACTCAATAAAATTCTAGCAAACCGAATCAAAGAACAGATCAAAACAATCATCCATCATGATCAAGTAGGTTTTATCCCAGGAATGCACGGATGGTTCAATATAAGGAAATCCATCAATGTAATTCACCATATAAAAAAACTCAAAGAAAAAAAGCCACATGATCATCTCACTAGATGCTGAGAAAGCATTTGACAAAATTCAACATCCCTTCATGATAAAAGTCTTGGAAAGATCAGGAATTCAAGGCCCATACCTAAACATAGTAAAAGCAATTTACACCAAACCAGTAGCCAACATCAGACTAAATGGAGAGAAACTTGAAGCAATTCCACTAAGATCAGGGACTAGACAAGGCTGCCCACTCTCTCCCTACCTATTCAATATAGTACTGGAAGTCCTAGCCAGAGCAATTAGACAACAAAAAAGAAGTCAAAGGGATACAAATAGGAAAGAAAGAAGTGAAAATATCACATTTGCAGATGATATGATAGTATACTTAAGTGACCCCCAAACTTCAACCAGAGAACTCCTAAACCTGATAAACAACTTCAGCAAAGTGTCTGGTTATAAAATCAACTCAAACAAATCAGTAGCCTTCCTCTACATCAAAGATAAACAGACTGAAAAAGAAATTAGGGAAATGACACCCTTCACAATAGTCACAAATAATATAAAATACTTTGGTGTGAATCTAACCAAGCAAGTGAAAGACCTGTATGACAAGAACTTCAAGTCTCTGAAGAAAGAATTTGAAGAAGATCTCAGAAGATGAAAAGATCTCCTATGCTCATGGATTGGCAGGATTAATATAAGAAAAATGGTCATCATGCCAAAAGCAATCTACAGATTCAATGCAATCCCCATTAAAATCCCAACTCAATTCTTCACCGAGTTAGAAAAGGAAATTCTCAAATTCATTTGGAATAACAAAAAACCCAGGATAGCAAAAACTATTCTCAACAATAAAAGAACTTCGGGAGGAATCACCATCCCTGACCTCAAGCTGTACTACAGAGCAATAGTGATAAAAACTGCATGGTATCGGTACAAAGACAGGCAGGAAGATCAATGGAATAGAATTGAAGACTCAGAAATGAACCCACACACCTATGGTCATTTGATCATTGACAAAGGAGCCAAAACTGTCCAGTGAAAAAAGGACAGCATTTTCAACAAATGGTGCTGGTTCATCTGGAGGACAACATGTAGAAGAATGCAAATTGATCCATTCTTATCTCCTTGTACAAAGCTCAAGGCTAAGTGGATAAAGGACCTCCACATAAAACCAGATACACTGAAACTAATAGAAGAGAAGGTGGGGAAGAACCTTGAATACTTGGGCACAGGGGAAAAGTTCCTGAACATAACACCAATGGATTATGCTCTAAGATCAAGAATTGACAAATGGGACTTCATAAAATTGCAGAGTTTCTGTAAGGCAAAGGACACTGTCAATAGGACAAAACAGCAACCAACAAATTGGGAAAAGATCTTTACCAATCCTACATCTGATAGAGGGCTAATATCCAATATATACAAAGAACTCAAGAAATTAGACTCCAGACAACCAAATAACCCTATTAAAAAATGAAGTATAGAGCTTAACAAAGAATTCTCAACTGAGGAAACTAGAATGGCAGAGGAGCACCTAAAGAAATGTTCAGCATCCTTAGTCATCAGGGAAATGCAAATCAAAACAACCCTGAGATTCCATCTCACACCAGTCAGAATAGCTAAGATTAAAAACTCAGGTGATAGTAGATGCTGGCGAGGGTGTGGAGAAAGAGAAACACTCCTCCATTGTTGGTGGGACTGCAAGATGGTGCAACCACTTTAGAAATCAGTCTGGCGATTCCTCAGAAAATTTGACAGCATTACCTGAGGATCTAGCTATACCACTCCTGGGCATATACCCAGAAGATGCTCTAAAATATAACAAGGACATATGCTCCATTATGTTCATAGCAGCCTTATTTATAATAGCCAGAAGCTGGAAAGAACCCAGATGTCCTTCAACAGAGGAATGGATACAAAAAAATGTGGTACATTTACACAATGGAGTATTACTCAGCTATTAAAAACAATGAATTTGAGAAATTCTTAGGTAAATGGATGGAACTAGAAAATATCATCCTGAGTGAGGTTACCCAATCACAAAAGAACATACATGGTATTCACTCACTGATAAGTGGATATTAGCCCAAAAGCTTGAAATAGCCAAGATTCAACTCACAGACCACATGAAGCTCATAAAGAAGGAAGATCAAGTGTGGGTGCTTTGGTCCTTCTTAGAAGGAGTAACAAAATACTCAAGGGAGCAAATATGGAGACAAAGTGAGGGACAGAAACTGAAGGAGGGGCTGTCTGGAGACCATTCCACCTGGGTATTCATCCTATGTATAGTCACCAAAGATAGATGCTGATGTGGAAGTCAGGAAGTGCATGCTGACAAGAGCCTGATAGCTGTCTTCTTAGAGGTCTGCAAGAGTCTGACATATTCAGAGGCAGATGCTCACAGCTAACCATTGAACTGATGATGGGGTTCCCAGTGGAGGAGTTAGAGTGAAGACTGTAGGAGCTGAAAGGGTTTGCAGCCCCATGAGGAGAGCAATAATACCAACCAACCAGAGCTCCCAGGGTCTAAACCACCAGCCTGGGAGCACTTAGGGAGGGATCCATGGCTCCAGCTGTATATGTAAAGGAGGATGGCTGTGTTGGGCATAGGTGGGAGAAGAGATCCTTAGTCTCATGAAGGCTGGACGCCCCAGTGGGTGGGAATTTGAGGGTGGGGAGGTGGGAGTGGGTAGGTGGGTGGGTGGGGATATAGAAGTATAGAAGTAGGATTCAGGTATTGTATTAGTCAGGGTTTTCTAGAGTAACAGAATTTATAGAATGAATCTCTCCCTATATAGAGAAAGGGTATTTATTAGTGCCAGGAGCCTCCCGGCCTGGAGAGGGCAGAGACAGGGCGCAGAATAGGACTCTCATGTGACTTTAAAGTCTGAGAGTCTCTGGACATTCTAGCTCTCCAGCTGTACTAAAATGCTGATGATAACTACTAAAAAGCTCTAAAAACTTTCTTGCTCTTTCTGAGGGTAAAAGGCTGCTGGTTTAGGCAACTGACACCTGTAGCTTAACAGTGGGGGAGAGGCGGTGCGGGGGGGGGGGGAGATTAAGTAATGTGGCCTTTGTTCTATCTCAGCAGGAATTGTGCAGCTCTAACTTTTAGAAGTCACAGGAAGAAAGGGGGACACTCTGAAAAGTGATTGTAGCATTTATTACTAAGTTGTAAAATGTTTCCTATGAAAACTATCTAAGGGGTAAAGCTGAAAGATCCTAAGCAGGGCAAGGGAAAAATTATTTATCTCATCTTTTTGTCTTCAGTAGTTATACATCTCTCAGAATACATGATCACTTGGTAAAAAGTTCACCACAAGTTCACACATAAAATCAAATCATAAATTGAAATAGAAGTTTACAACAGAGAATGTTTACATGCATATTCATTATGAGTAATTTTCTGGCTAAACATCTATCACCTGTCACAGCTCCACAGGTTCACTGAAAGTTTTAAAACCATAACTAAGTAATTAATGATGTTTTGTATAGATAAACTCAGTATTTTATCTTCTGTCCTAGCACATGTAATAAATCGTTAGTTCCCTTTTTATGACCTTTGGTTGTTTTACAACCTCTTGGAATGTGCTCTGTGTAGGAGACAGTATGGTTACTATCTAGAAGGAATTAACTGGTGACACATGGGAGACTGACAGAGTTCTCATTGCAGTTTTGACTATTAGAAAAGGATGTAATAGCAGTCCCACTATAAAATAACTTAATAATCTCAGATATAATTTTAGGAATTCTTATAAGATCATCATTAAGAATTAAAAAGTCATCTATTTGTCTATATAGCATCACTACAAGACAATACATTTTCATAGCTCTGCAGAGATCTGCTCAAAAGGGGTGAGCTAATATATATTTAATAATAACAGGAAAAGCATATTAATAGCAGGAATATTTCCTAAAATGAATTTTTCCTGGGCCTTTCCTATGGAACAAATCTGTCATGGATTATAATCGGAAGCAGACCATCTCAGGAAGATCACCTGCTAGTTATTAGCTTGTCCTATGATGGCTCCTGACATATTAGAATGACCTATAGACTGTGGTTCAGCTAACCCAACAATGGCTGTCTGTGAATAAAAAGTCCAAGAGTCAAGTAGTTGCTTATCCATGAGACTGGATGTCTCTAGTGTATTCTACAATCCCAAAGAAGTAGGGTCCAGTATATCGTTACTTCTACCTATGTTTTCAGGGCTGACCATTTGATATTGGTTAACCAATTAGTGTGCTCATTGGAAGACTATTTCTCCTGCTCTCAGCATTCATTAGTTGCTTGTGGTTCTTTATGTAGGACTGAGGCTTCATGGGCTTTCCTTTTTCTACTTTGGCATCACTATTGCTATTGTTCTTGTTTGGTTTATGCTTAAGAAGTCATATTGGTGAAACTTTATACATGTAGTTTCTGAGATTTCTAGGAGTACAGAATCTCACAGAAAATTCGCTGTTCCTCTGGCTCTTATAATTTTTCTGCTCCACCCTGAGCCTTTGGTGTAGTAATTGTGTTGGAGCTGGGCTCAAAACTCTGCATTTTTATCGGTTGTAATTGTGTGTAAAGGTCTCCATTTGTGGCAAAGAGAAGTTCCTTGATGAGGTATGAAAACTGCATTTATTTATGGGTATAAAGATAAATATTTCAAATTCAGTTAGGGATTATGTTAGTTTAGCAAGATGATTCTAACATTCAGCCATGGTTGTGTGTAACTAATAAAGAAAATCTTATGTCAGCAACTCACAGATAAGGGAATTTACAATGATGGAGATAAAAGGAGCATGGAGCTGGCAACACAAGAATAAGTTCAGGAACTTCGCTGTCCAGCTGCTAATTAACATGGCCCCAAATCTGTCTATAATATTCTAGCGTCCTTTCTGAAAACAATGATAATGACAGCCCAAGCCTTAAATAATCCACACACCTTGACTCCATTGTTGAAACAGTTATTGAACACAGATTTTCAAGTTATTCAGAATAAGAGAATGCATGGCAAGGGGAAGGATAGTACTTGATCTTCTGAAAAACAGCACTTCTCCAGATGAACAAAGTACTAGAAAGAGCAATACCTCACTAAATCAGGTATTGGATGTACCTCAGGTCTTTCACACAACATTTAGCTGTCTCACACGACTTCTAAGGCAAGTACAGCAACAGACAAACTCCAAAGAACCTTGCAAAAACCAGATCTATTAACAGTGTGCAGATGAGAACTGAAAATGCAGGCATATTTCTTTGTTCTATATTGCTCTCCACCTGCAAAGAATTTTCATATTTAAATTTGTTTTCAGCTGTAGAAAGCTCTATGCTAATATTTTTATAAACAGATCTGGAATATACTTCCCCATGCCTCCAGACACATAAATTAAGTTCAAATATTGAGAGCTCTTTTCAAAGCTACAAAACTATTATTATTAAATATTGTCCTGGTCACTGTTCTATAGCTGTAAAGAAACACCATGACCAAAGCAATTCTTATTTTTAAAAAAGAAAAGTTAATTGGGAGCTTGCTTACAGTTTCAGAAGTTGAGTCCATTGTCCTCATGGTGAAAAGCATGGCAGCAGGCATGGTGCTGGAATAGTTGCCTAGAGCTAAATCCTGATCCACACACTGAAAGAAAGAGATCCTAGGCCTGGCATGGGCTTTTGAAAACTCAAAGCCCACCACTAGTGGCATATATATATATATATGCCTATGGAGGACATTCTTACTCAAAACATCACAGATATTATGAATTCTTATATGTCTCCAAGTTGACCTATGTACCAAAACTTCCTCTCTTCAGCATCTCAGAGATTTTGGACCAGGTACAAGAAGATGCAGAAGATATTCTTTTCAGCCTGGGCTTTGGCCACGAGGACCACAAAGACACATCTCGTATCCCTGCAAGATTTTTCAGCAACCCTTCTCAGGCCAAGGGCATTGACTTTCAGCTCTTCCTGAAGTCTCAGGTGCAAAGGATGGAGATGGAAGATCCCTGCCTGATGCTGGCCAGTGAGTGTTACTTCAGATCCATGCATGTTCTTCTCTCTTATCTTCCTCTCATCTGCAACAGTGGCTCCATACCATATTTTTTCTTGGTTAACTTTATCCTTTGCTTGTTCCAGTCTCATTTGTACTTTTCTAAAAATGGAGCACTTAGTGTCTGGTTTTTTTTCTCTTGAAAAAAAAATCTTCAGGCTTTTCAATGCTGTTACTATTTTGACTATTTTATTGGGTTCTTTTTTTAACCACTCTTCTCCACCCCAATCCTTTCCACCACCACCCATTCCCTCAATACTAGGTAGGAGAAAAAAGTTTAGTGGGTAAAGGAGGCATTGATCTTGATTAGGGGCATCGAGTTCCTTGGGGCAAGTTTGATCTTTGCCATCAGATAGCCATTTTTTCTTGTCTCTTTGCTCACAACTACTTGACAAACCATATCAACAGCAACTAGGAGGAGGAGCAGCAGCCTCAGGACTGTGGCATTTATATACCCTCTGAAGAGTTCCCAGAATTCCAAACTTAAATTATCTTCAGCTGGTAGAATCACACCCCTGCCAGAGCACAAGATAAATCATAGTTCACTGCTGTGAAAAATCTTTAGTAGCCCCATATCCCACACCTTAGACTAAAACAAGAACATATTCACATTAATACAACTGTTTTTTTTAAGAAACCAAAATTCTCGCTATACTTAGGCCTATCAGAACAAAATTCTTATATCTTTTTCCATTTTAAAATCTCTTTGTTGGGTTATTTACTGGAGATAAAAAGTCTAGAAGCCAAGAAAAGGGCTGCTGAGTACCTGAACTCCTAATTGGAAGATCACCAGTGAATAAACTGGTACCTCTCTCTCTGAAATTAGAGCTTTGGAGGAGCTTTTGAGTAGACATGTTAAAAATGTAATTTGCCAATGAACTCCTAGAGTCACCATCCTTATTTCTTATATTTAGGCCGGTTTAAGCAGGTGCAGACGCTAGCTGTCACTGCTGATGCTTTCTTCTGTCTCTACTCCTATGTGTCTAAGACACCTGTCCAAAAATTCACCCCATCCAACATGTTCTGGAATTTCGACCCAACTAATGTGCCATCCATCAGGATTCTGGCTCCAGAGGCTGAACCCTACTCACCCAGAGAACGTCTCCGGAAAGCAATCTCTAAAATGTGCCTGTATACAGGTTCCCGAGATCGGCTGTCATCATCTTTCAACAACCTCAAAAAGAACAGTTTTGACCAAATTGTGCAAGAAGTGATGGACAGAGTGAAAGGAGAAAAACTAGGTCTCCAGCAAGACCCTGAGCATAGACAAGCCCCTCAGGAAGAGTCTGTGCCCACAGTAAAAAATCCAAATCCATCTACCTCTTCATTTCCATGTGTTTTCTGCCTTAAAGAAAAAACACAGGGGGACATGTGCCATGCTCATGCTTTGGTAAGAGCAGGTCCACAGTACCACATAGACCCTACACAGGTAAGGAGACAGCTGTGGGTTCTACAGAACATTAATGAGAAGCCACATTCAGCTGAGAATGAGAGGCCATGGGAAAGAAAAAGCAAAGCAAGAAAGAACCTATTTCAAAGGATTTCCTTGAACTTGTCCATCATCCAGCAGAAACAAAACCAAGGACAAGCCAGAGATGAGCTGCACCAATCTTTAACTCAGCAGGTTCAGGATGCTTCTGATTTGGAGCAGGTAAAAGTTCAGTTTTTCATGAAACATACATGTACTGATGTTTTTTAATGTTTTTCATATAAAGGAAATTGAAAAAACTGCATATTATTTCATAAAATATGTCTTTTTCCAAGGACCAGCTTCAGCATGGAGAGAGGTTCTGAGAGAAGGGGTAACTGGGAGCAGCAAAGACAAACGTCTTGAAGTCAAATCATGGATCCAACCAAATGATCTGGGTTCTGTTTGATACAGCTTTTCCAGTCTGCTTCTCTCTGTTCTGCTTCCTCTCTAGAGATTCCTTTGTATTCTGCTTGCTTGCTATTCCAAGTGATCTCCCTATCCAAATTCTGCTTGCTTTCCTAAGATATCTCTCTGTCCATGTCCTGCTTGCGTGCGTGCGTGCGTGCGTGCGTGTGTGTGTCTGTCTGTCTGTCTGTCTGTCTGTCTGTCTATACAAACACAGTGGGATAGAAGGTTTTGGGTGTCCTTTTTTCACTAATTAATTCACATCCTGATTGTAGCCCCCCCTCCTCCCAGTCATACTCTCACAAAGCCCTCCCCACATTGCCCCTCCTTTTCCTCAGAGGAGAGGACACCCCTCTTGGGTACCACCCACCCTGGCAAACTGCAGCAGGACTAGGTACTCTCCCACTGAAGCCCAGCAAGACAATCCAGCTAAGGGAGGGTATCTAATGGCAAGAGACAGAATCAAAGACAGCCCCCACTCCAATTGTTGGGGGACCCACATGAGGCTACACATCTGCTACAAATGTGTAGGGGCTAAGGTACAGCCCTTCCATGCTCTTTGGTTGGTGGTTCAGTCTCTGTGAGCCTTCATGGGCCTAGGTTAGTTGACTATGTAGGTCTTCTTGTAGTGTCCTTGATCCCTCTGGCTCTCTCAATCCTATCCCTTTGGGTATCTTTTTAAACAATCCATCACAGTTTTTTTAAACAGCTTTATCAAAATTCTTTATTCTTTATATTTTTTCTTAAGATTTATTTATTTTATACAGGAGTACACTGTAGCTGTCTTCAGACACACCAGAAGAGGGCATCAGATCCCATTACAGATGTTTGTGAGCCACCATGTGGTTACTGAGAATTAAACTCAGGACCTCTGGAAAAACAGCCAGTACTCTTAACAGTTGAGCCATCTCTCCAGCCCTATTCTTCGTATCTCAAAGATTTACCAATAGTAAATTCTCAAAGACTATTCCAACCCACCCATATCATACAGAAATTTGAAAGGAGGTTATTGCAAATTTTTAGGTATGTTATGGATATGTATGGATATGTAGGTAGGTAGGTAGGTAGGTATGTAAGTATATTGCAGTTGCCTTGAAAAGCATCTGCTTCTATGCTATTTGTCCACTAGATGTCAGCCTTACATAAGAAAATGTCAAGATGTCCCATAAATACCAAATCTCACAAACCTGAAACCATTCAGAGTAAATTTCAGAATCCAAAAATATCAGAATTTTTTGGCAAATATATTTCAACGATATGAATAGATCATATTTTCTGTCAACATAGCAGGAGAGATGATGATTACACATTCTGTATTATATTCTGCATCCTAAACCTGTATTTTTCAAAACTGTAACATCTACAATTGGGATGCATCTTATAATTTATATCATTAGCCAAACTTTCCTTTTATTTAATAGGTGTTCACATGGAATATTAAATAATTGTGAATCTTAGATAACCAAATACAATAACATGCAGTAATGTTAGGGGAGAATGTGCTTACAATCTCAAGAAAATGAAAACAAACTATTTTAAATATTTCTTTCTTATGATTACCTGGGAGAATCAAAAATGTCTTCTAGGACAGTCTTTGTTTCAGTCTTGGTGTTTCCAAAGTCTTTCCCATCTTTTTTTTTCCTTTCTTTTATTGAAAATAATCATTTTTTAATACATTGTATAGCAATTATGGTTTCCCCTCTTTTTGTCCCCCCAGTTCTTCACCTCCCCTCCCATCTAGATCGACACCCTTTGTCTATCAAAATACTAACAAGCATGTAGTGGACAAAACAAACATGAAGAAAAGAGCCCAAGAAAAGCCACAAAACCAGTTATGGTTGCAGAGACCCATTTGTGCTCACACTCGGGAGTCCCTTAAAAACACAAAATCAGAAACTGTTGTTTTGGGGGTTTTGGTTTGGTTTGGTTTTTGTTTTGTTAACCATCTACTGCTGGGCATGTGGCCTACCCTTAAGAGTAGTTTGTTTTTCTAGTGAGATGTGTTTAAAAGAAACATAAATTACTACTCTCAACCTGTGTCTATTATTCTTTAAGAGGTCACAAAGTGATAAAAATACTCACCAAGACTTTGACATATGAGATTGAGACATATATGGTAAGTGTAGAGGGGAAATAGACTGAGATATACCGAATAAACTTTTCTCTCCCTTTAGAGGCATAAGGATAGGTAAAATATGCTAGAAAAATTCAACTGGTCACTCTGTTCAGCTGAAGAATCTTGATTGTTCAGAGACATTCAACCTCCAATGGTAACAGGGCTTAGAACTCACCCTCCATGCCAACATTTCCCAGCCTCTCTCTCTCTCTCTCTCTCTCTCTCTCTCTCTCTCTCTCTCTCTC